GTGGTAATTTTTTTAAAGGTCTCACATATTTATTACTGAACCAACCTACCAATGCAGAACTTCGAAAGAAACAAAGTGAAGCATCACTTTCTTTTCAACAAAACACCTTCAAGTGTCCAGGCAGTGGTAACCATTTTTAGCTTGATGTGGCAAGACCATTGTGACCTCGGTACAGCATAAGTATGTGGCCCATATCCTGTCCAGTTCCTTATAGACCCAGCCTGGTTCTTCTCCAGTGTCTCCTCTTGGAGTTGTATCTGATTTTATTACCAGTTTTCATTCTAATCCACTGGGGAACGGGGCGATTTTTGCTTCTGTTTGTTTGTTTGTTTGGTTGGTTGGTTGGTGTTTTGTTTTGTTTTGTTTTGTTTTTTGTTTTTTGGGGTTTTTTTTGCCAGAAACTGCTTGATTCTCAAAGTCTTGTGAAAAGACATGGCAAAGAACCAAGTGGACCACACACACCATGATGGTGAAGAAAGGAAGAGAAGGAAAAGCGGCAAAAGGACATGTTTGAAAAATTGTGTGGCAATTTTTTGAAAGCCTGGTTGAGTAGCCCTGTGAATCATGTCACACTACTGCTCCTATTAAACTGCAGTCAGTCCAAGTCTCAAGGTCTCAAAATGGTCATTAATCCAGCCCTCCTTCAACCAGAACATTCAACCGGAAGACTATCTCAAATTCCCTTTTCCCTTAACTAGCAGCAATCTGAGAACAATAGTAGAGCCTGAACCCTTGGAAAAGGAAGAAGAGAGTAAAAATAGGAAAGCACATATGACTTGAAAGTGCTTGAACAGGGACAAGAATTTTTAGGATTTGAGTGGTCATAGCTTTTCTGCCCTGCTCACTAAAAAAAAAGTCAAGCCAACTCAGTTTCTGAGCTTGCAATGCTAAACAAAGATTGAGTAGAAAGAGACAGATCTGGGAAGGATAGGAGGTGTTGTGTTGTATAGGGTTGAATAATATTCTTGCCCAACAATAACAAATAAAGATGAGGCAGAAAAGAAGAGAAACTAAAGTCCATGGTGGTTCTGACAAAGAGTTTGGTTTTGGGAGTTGAGAATAAGAAGCTTAAGAGAGCAGCTGCCAGTAGTGAAGGATATTAAACGTGAAAGAGGTGGATAAAGATGACTTTTAAGATGTTGCCTTCTGAATTCAGAATGTATAACTGTCAAGAATCTATTTCAGATGGATCTTTCATGTTTCTGCATTGCCAGCACATGTTGCAAGACATCTTCTTAAGAATGTTTGTCTAGCAAAAAGCCTTAGAAGATAGACATGGTGCCCCCACCCCGTCCACAGAGCACTGAGCAGACATGCTTACTGCCCAAATATAAAAGATTCAGGTTCCTTAGCTCAGGAGTCCTCTTCTGTAATACAACTCTGCATATACAGGCGTCATTTGGCCCTATTCATGTTGCCTTGTAGATATCACTGGAGTAAAAAGGCTGATATTCTGCCCAAAGCTAATGCTGTGTTATGAACTGTTCTCCACCTCAGACCCAGAAATCTCATGCCTCCCACTGGCATTCTTACTGGCTTGCAAGTGTGGTAAATCTCAGACCCTTTATGGTTCTGGCAATGTCTCCCATCCATCACTTGCCAGCCTCTTAAAAGACTAACGTACAATTTTGATTTAGGCAATATTATTCTGTCAGAGAGTTATTACTTTGAGTTGGAGTCATGAAGAGACCAGGCTCTGTCAGCAAGACCTAGTGGGCTCCACTGCTGCTCAGGTTATAGCCCATCTCCATCTTTTCCCATGGTCAGATCATCCCAGTCCTTAACAGTGGGCTAATAGTACAATATAGCTTTTCTTTCTCTTTTATTCTTACTCTGCCATGCTCCAAAAGAGGACTTGAAGAGCTTTACAAAGAATCATAGAATGCAGCAAAATAAGTAAAAATGTAAGGAAATCAGGTTAAAAGAGGAAATAAGGACAGGAGAAATAAAAGTGAAACCAGGCACACATGCTGTCACATCCTAGAGATGGGTCATAGATTTGGTTCTGGACTTTCTTACAAGTATTGAAAAGATGATAATATGTGAGACTCAAATGCACTTGTTCAAGTGCTTTATTCAGTTCACTGCCAGTACTTCCCTATACAAGTTCTGTATAGGAAATCTATTTTTAAGTGTGAATCTCTAAATTCAAAGACTATTTCCACTTTC